TGCAGATTTCGGTAACAGGTCGATGAACTTTATCTAATTTTGGGTTTGTTGAATTTATTTTTCGACCTAGTTGGCAGGTCGAGAGAGTTCACTCAGGGCAGCTCACGGAGTCAAGTTATTAATGCGATGATCTTTATTTGACCTTGATTTTGTCGATGTTGGTCTTTGTAATTAATGGTTGAATTTTAAATTTTGAACCGAGGGGCGATAGGAGTGGGTGGTCTAAGAGAGCTCGAACAGGGTGATCAAAACACAACAGACATAAGTTCAAATTTTCAAATTCAAAATTTCGGGGAGTGGTCATTCAGTTCTCGATTTTTGACTTCAACGGTCTCGACTCTGGGTTTTCGACCTCAGCGGTCTGGACTCTGGGTTTTCGACCTCAGCGGTCTCGACTCTCGGTTTTCGACCTCAGCGGTCTCGACTCTCTGTTTTCGACCTCAACGGTCTCGACTCTCGGTTTTCGACCTCAGCGGTCTCAACTCCAGCAGTCTCGACTCTCGATTTTCGACCTCAGCGGTCTTGACTCTCAGTTTTTGACCTCAGCGGTCTCGACTCTCGGTTTTCGACCTCAACGATCTCGACTCCCGATTTTTGACCTCAGCGGTCTCGACTCCAGCGGTCTCGACTCTCGCTTTTTGACGTCAACGGTCTCGACTCTCGGTTTTCGACCTCAGCGGTCTCGACTCTCAGTTTTTCACCTCAGCAGTCTCGACTCTCGATTTTCGACCTCAACGGTCTCGACTATCGGTTTTCGACCTCAGCGGTCTCGACTCTCGGTTTTCGACCTCAACAGTCTCGACTCTCGGTTTTTGACCTCAGCGGTCTCGACTCTCAGTTTTCGACCTCAACGGTCTCGACTCTAGCGGTCTCGACTTTCGGTTTTTGACCTCAGCGGTCTCAACTCTCAGTTTTCGAGCTCAAAGGTCTCAAACTCTCGGTGTTCGACCTCAGCAGTCTCGACTCTCTTCTTTCGACCTCAGCGGTCTCGACTCTCGGTTTTTTACCTCAGCGGTCTCGACTCTTGGTTTTTTACCTCAGCGGTCTC